GGGGGCCCCGGGGGTGGGGGCGGGGGGGAGCCCGACAGGGGAAGCCGCGAGGCTAGCCGGCCTCTCTGCCATATCCCGGCGCCGCCGGAAGAGGAAGAAGAAGCCGGCCACACCGCCGCGCTTCCGGCCCCGCCGCTGCTGTTGCTGGACCCGGGCACAGTCCACGAGGCTCCCCCGCGAGCCGTACGCACGTGGGTGGGGTCGAAACCGCCGCCGCCACCGCCGTCGATCGCCGCTGCTGGCGAGTGAGCCGCCGACGCCATTGCGGCCTCCAAGCGGGACCGGTTCTCCCGAAACGCCGCGCTGTTCGCGCCCGAACCAAAAGCACCACCGCCACCGTGCCTGACGCCTTCGACACGACCACTGCCCTTCGCACCGCTTCCGCCGGCGCTGCCTCCTTCCCATGCGGGAGAGGAGCACCCCCCCCCCCTGNTGTCCGCCGCCGCCGCCGCCGCCGCCGCCGCCGCCGGTACCACCTTGGTGGAGTCGGCCCAGCCCACCGCCTTCTGCCTCTGCGCCGGGAGGACCAGCCGCGCGAGCGGGGGGGGGGGCTCGCCCTTTCCCTCGTCACAGACCCGCCGGTGCCACGCCCAGTCGCTCCGCTGGTGGTCTCGGTTGCAGTAGAACGCCGCTCGGCACCGCCTGCACCGGAACACCGATATCTGGACGGAGGTAGTAAAACGCAAGAGGTATTGTGAGGAAAGGGGGTACGTCCACTGGTACCACCAACCGCGTCTCCCCCCCCCGGGGTGAAGGGGGCGGCAGCCTCCGGATTTATTACTCACAGCAGCTGCGAAGTGTCCATACCGCAGTATCGAAGGCTGGGGCGCCGTGCGAAAACGACGGAGGCGTGGCTGAGGCTTTCTCGCGCGTACATCGGGTGCGTGCAGTCCCTCGGGGGTCCAGTATCGTACATCGAACACTTTGGCCCAGAAATTACAAGGGGGAAGATTGAAAAAAAATGACAAAACCCATGCTGTTGCCACGGTATGTCATACGGAATACGTCCGGAAGCCGATAGGCCAAAACAGCGGCGGCGACCGTCACATCCGATTATCGCTGAACCACCCCTAAACACAGCGGCACCCGCCGGTATACCCTACTCTCATACCTGGCCACAGCCCTCGAAATTGCACCTTCCGGCGAGGGGCTGGAGAGGAAGTGGCAGCTGCCTCTTGCTGCTCGCCCACGGGTCGCCGCCGCTGCAGTGGGGGGTGGCCTCACGGTTAGCCGCGATGGCTTCTTCTGCCGCTGTCGCTGCTTCGCCACTTGCCGCCTCTCCGGTGACGATGGTCGCGGGTCTCGTCGCCATTGTGGGTACCGCAACTGCTGCTACCCCCCAGTCGCTTTCCTTGGCAGTACTGGCGACCATAGGGATGGATGCCGTTCCTTCTCCTGCTGCTGCTCCTCCTCCTCCTGATGCCGCCGTTGACGTTGCTTCTTCTCCTTCTGCTGCTGCTGCTGCTGCTGCTGCTGCTGCTGCTGCTGCTGCTTCCGTCGCCACCCTCACAAAAGTCGCTGCCGCTTCTTCCGTGTTCTCCCGTCCGTCAACTCTGCAAGACGCTTCTCCTTCTTCGTCCGTCCGCAACAGCAAAGCCCTCCTTACGCCTGTCGCGCTCCTGGTCGAGCCTGACGACGAGCACCACGTGTTCGCCCGCTTACGCTGCTGAGCAGCAGCAGCAGAAACGGCAGAAGCGGCGGCTCCGATTGCGCCGCCTCGCTCCTCCTCCACCCCGGCGGCCTCCCACCACCGTGGGACGCGATCCACAGCGCCGTCGAAACTAAGTCTTCGACGACGGACACGGACACTGCCGCTCCCCCTCTCCTTACCGCCGCCGCCACAGCCGGTGCGGGGGCCGTCGCTTACGGCAGGCATCTCGTCGGCGGGTGTGGTGTCGATGGTCGCAGTCCCCTGGCTCTTATGTACGGGATAATTGCTGGTGGTGCTCCTTGCTGCAGTTGTCAGTGCTGCGCCTTGGCAATGGGGTGCTGTTCTGGCTGGCGAGGAGCGCGAAACATCGTAAGAAGCGGCACGAAACTAGCTTCAAGAGGCCCAGCAGAAAACAACATATAAAACTTGGCAATTTGTTAATTTATCGGGACAGAGGTTTTTGGGAGTTTGATTGCGCGGGCGAAGCCCGCTAATACATGTGTGAAACCCCATCCATGCGGTCCGCACGAATTCAAAATGTTGCACCTCACTGAATCAATAAAGGAAAGGAGGCACCAGAGCAGAGGTGTTTCAGCGGCAGCAAAGAAATCACCGTGCAGCTATACTGCCTGCGGGTTGTGTACATACCTACGCGTCGGGATCAGACAACTGATGGGATGGTGATTTGGGACGTATATTCCAAAGAACCACAGATAGATGGAGTCAAGAGAGCGAAGAACTAGACATCAACAGATATGGATGTAGATGCAGAGATGCTAAGAGCATCATAATCACGTGCTTGAAGTGATCTAGCGAGAGGACGGGCGTGCAGACCACGTAGAAAGCATGCACGAATCCCTGGGTGTGGGTGCTACTGCTGCTGTAGCTCGACACGAAAAAAATACTTCGTATGCGCGAATGCGCGTGTGTGTGATCTCCCTCCTCGATGTTTCTAAGCTCGTCCTCGTGCTGCTGCTGCTGGGTGCTCGTCATCGACATTCAGTATGGGTTGTTGACGTTGCAAAACTCTTACACGCGGAGACCAGAGTGGTCTCTGCTGGTTCTATCCTGCTGTGGACGTGTGGTACGCGCCAGTTGCAGCTCCAGGCTCCCGGCTGATGTGTGTAGGTCCGTGAACTGGAGACTGGTTGGTTCGAAAGCCGTGTCCAGCAGAAAGCGGCGAAGTTACCAAAATTACTCGAAAATAGACAAGACGCCAAGTAGGCGCCACGTTGGATGGAGACGGCTGATTGGCGGACGCCAAGTTAAAACAGTCCCGGTGGCTTTTTTTGCTGCCAAATGTTTCTGCCTGTAATTTACCGCAGAAGGGTCAACGTTCGTAGGGCTGCACAAAGAGCGATCGTTGGATCGTTGGCTACGACATATAATTCCGAGCGGCAGCGAAGGCGGCAGTCAACATGTAGGCTGCACAACCATATGTAGCGACCGTTGGCTATGTTCAGAACACCGATGGAGGTGGCGGGTGTAGGCTTGACAACCATGTGTAGCAATCGTGGGCTATTTCACAGCAGCAAATTGAGGTAGATTGTAGTCTACCTAGGAATGTTGTAGTCTATGCATAGTCTAAAAGCTCGATCCACCAAATAGAGCCGGACGAAAGTCGTGCGGAAAATAGAAAATAGGAAGGGGCGCTTTGAGGGTGTAATGGGGATTGCCATGTGTCCCTTCCCCTGTAGTGCTTGGGGACTGAAGCCGACTACGATACCGCGGCTGCCTGACTGACGCGCTGGACTAAACGCACCCGACCTGTCTCTTGTTCTCTCCGCAGGCATACGCCTCTCTGGATGGCGTTGGGGTTGAAGAGGCACTACGCAAGTTGGGATAGGAAGGAGTGTCAAGATATCCGAGCTTTCATGCGATCCAATGAATCGATCGCATCAAACGCGCCGATACACGCGAGGGACACGCGCTGCCATCCTCGTAGTCTGTTCAGCAGGGCTCGATGGGGAAGCTCGGCAAAAACGGCATGGTTTTAAAGCGCGATGTGCGCCCACGTGCGAGGCAGCAGGAGCAGCAGCAGCAGCAGCAGCAGCAGCAACCGATTTCGTATGCGTTGTCACGAGAGGTCGGAAGACAAGGGTTCACACACCCAACATCGGAACCACTGCTGTTTGCAAACCTGGACAATGGCCACCAATGGTACTGAGTACTTCCTGATAGTCTCACCACTCCTTGGATATCGTTTCGCATAAACAGCGCCCGGCCAAACACAGCAGCCCAGCAGGAGCAGCAGAATCAGCAGCAGCAGCAGTAATCAATCTCTCTCAGGGACACAGCAGTTTCCCAGGCGTGTACTGATGTTAAACGCATACAACACTTGATCTCGGCGCACCAACCTGTTCGCCTGTGGTCAATGTTCTCTCAAGCTGTGGTCGATCGGAGCAACAGGTGTCCCAGCGACTCGTGCTCATCATGTCTTGCTGAGAGGCAGAGTCCATCGCATCGTTGGTTCCCTGGGGGGTTCGCGGATCCGAATCTGGACGTACTGCCCCATACAAACACGGGGTCTTCAGTGGACATGGTGGAGACCACAAATCCAAAAATCCAAACTGTAGTGTTTTTTAGACAGTAAACGTAGTTGCCCGTTCCTTGTCAAGGTTCCTTGACTTCTCCTTGCGCAAGCGGTGTCTGGATTGGGAAAGGTGAGGCAGAATCATAGGTGCTGCGGATTCTTCCTGGCGTGGAATGCGATAGAGACTAGAGAAGTTACCAGTACAATACCAGTGGTGGAAGTTGTTTACCGTACATCGCGACATGTGCTTTTGGCACCCAGCGTGTGCATGGACCCGTCTACCTCTCTTGTCTATGTGTAACTTTAGGATATATCTTGTTCCTCCCGACCAATTCAACCAGGAATAGTTGAGTCTCAAACCTCCGCCATCTGCGCCATGGAGGCTCCCGAGAACGCTTCGGACAAGGAAACCCTCCCCACACCGCTAAATTCAGAACATATTTTTTTCCGACACGCCCCACTTCACCGGTAACCATCCACAAAACATAGGACGACCTCTACAGAAGTACCCGGCATCTTCGGGAGGCGTGTCAAAACACCGCCAATGCCTTGGTCGTAGGGTCTGGAGCAGTTTCCCGATGGGCCGAAACAACCGCCGAAAAAACAAGTGGAAAGGAGATAGCGCGACCGAGACAGGTCTACCCCATCGGCGACGGTGGGGGAGCGGCCATGGTCGCGGCACACCAACGGACGGCGTAGACGATTCGGAGCTAGACATCAGGCCCGATATTGGCAGAAGTAAGTGGATCAAGGGCTCCGGGAAACTGCGAGCAAGACGTAAGGACAGCAGCGACAGTTTTGATGGTACACCCTCCAGTAATGCTTCGAGGCTCGCCGATGAGGGGGGGGAAACCACGGAACCTCTTCGCACAGAAGGAGGCGGTGAACAACAAGCTAACGACAAAAAACACGACGTCGAGTCCGCGACGCAGCAAGAAGAATCGCTGACGACCCACCACAAAAGCCGGCAACAGTTAAGCACGACCCGCCATGCAACAGTCGGGTTTGAGCAGGGCTCTCCGACGGGAGGTGTTCCCGCGCGCGCGTTCACAACGGTTGATCAGCAGCATCCGCGGCAGCTGCAGCCGAAGAGTCCAGAGGAAGAAGAGTGCCAGGGTAGAACAACGGAGGAGGAGGAAGATGGGGGTGGAGCTACCAAAAATGAGGATATTCCGGTCGTGGTCAACGGCAGTGGAGACACGCTCGTCGACAACCCTACTTCTCACTTGCGAACGGTTGCCCCCCCAAAGGAGTGTGATGGCACTGGTGCTGGTGGCCTCCGCGATGAGACCACCACCGTACCTTCGGATGTTTCTCCTTGCAACGCTGTAGCAATAAGAACTCCTTTGGCAGGCTTGGGGGTTGCAGTTCCGGCCCTTCGACTCGGTAACGAGCATAGCGAGAGGGGCGCTCATGAGCAGGGAATGCATGGTCGTGCTGGTACGGCTAACGTCGTGACGGACGACACATCTTATAGCTTAACGTGGGCCGATGGCAGAGTCGGCCGACAGCTGATGGCGAGCGTGGAAGGCCTACTGCAGGAGTGGCTGTGCGCACAAGAGGTGGAGGTGCGACTCGACGAAAACTGCCTTGCCTTTGTTGAGAAGGCGCGAGCACCACACGATCAAGGGAAACCTTCATTGCGTGTGAAACGATGAAGCCAGGCCCGAAATCTGTGTCACTATTGGGGAAGCTGAGGCCGCACATGGTTTTTATTTGACAGCAAAGGTTATCCAGTGATGATGATGCTCCTTGAAGGGGCTACCACAATGATAGCCTCGCAACGGAGAAACGATTGCGGGCAATCCGCCGGCCATTTGCGAACTGCTTCCAATGAGCTCGCAAGGGCTGGAACATTCGCTGCAGAACCAAATCGGAAAGCCATCCATCAGACAACAAAGTTGAGGCCACCTAGCATCATGAACGTGTCGGCTCAAAACAACATGGTGCAGCATCAAAACATGCCCATTTCAGTAACCGAGTACATCCCAGCGCCATATAAATAGCTGGCACCGTAGAGCTAGTAATAACGCGCATCAAGCGTCGCAATCTTTTTGTGGTTCTATAGGGGGAAAAGTTCGGTGGCAAACCTGTTAAATAGCCGTCGCTGACCCGTGGTGTACGACAGCCTCGTTTTTCAACCGGGAACACGGGTTTAGCTGAGCATCATACTTCTACATCTGGGGAAAGACAACCTGCTTGTGGTGAACAGCGTCGCCCCACCGCGACTTTCAACAATCAGGGAACATGTGTGCGGGAGAAGATTTCAGCGATCGGGGCTGTGACGTCGTCTGGCCTCGTTCCCCTTGGACATCTCCAAGAGAAACTCGATATGCCCGATCATGTGGCGTGCGCCCTTGGCCTGAGGTTTCGGGGCGGGGAATGGGAGAGGCTTACCCAGACAATTGCGGCGGCAAGGTGACTCTTTCCATACGGGCATGTCGAGTCCATACGTCAAGGAATTCGCTTCTTGCGCTACCTTCTAATTGACCCTTGGTGTTTTGAAATGGGAGTTTTCCGAGTAAGTTTTTTCACCACCAATCGAGTATGAAGCTGACCACAACGACGAAGGGTGGCTGGCTCCTTGTCTATCTGCCTTGCGTCGTCTGTTTGCGATTGCTACATACGCTTATGATAGCCCCGCAATCATAATCGACGGTTGGATTTCATCAAGAAGGAAACATCCATAAGAACAACTTGAACAAACAGAGAGTCTAAATCGGCGAACGTTGCGATGTGCTGGAAACAGGGACTTCCTGGATCTAGAGGCCGAGGCTGCATGCGGAAACGCTCTCGCGACGTTCGGAAGCCAGACATCGGCACCCAGACTGAAAGACCAAATCCCTATCAGCGCTCTGGCAGCGATCGCGAAAACAGAAGCCGCTGGCCTGGATCTAGTGGCGCTCGAAGTCAGGCAGGCGGTACGTACTCAGGCGGAGATCGCTACCTCTCCCAAGCTCCCTCCGGGTGCAGTAAGAAAAACTTTTGCCTGTTTGCTTGAGGTTGGGTACCGCATGCGTTTGTGTGTATTCACTTTGTGTTGCGCCACGTGCTCCGTCCGTGATCCTTAATCACTCAGCTTCGCCCCCCCCCCTCTCTTCCTGCCGAAACACGGCAACAATAGCTCCGCGCCGAAGCAAGCCGCGTCGCCCCTGGATCCTGCCCATCGGCAGCTTCCGCGCTCTTCCAAGAGCTGGACCCGGACGCCAAGGGCTTCGTTACGACGACGGACCTCGTCCGCGTTGCTTGTCGTCTCCTGAGACTGTCCCCTGAACGCACGGCCGAGCAATCAACCCGGGCAACGAGCGTGTCATCACAGACAACCAGCGCTTGCACAACTGCGAGAAGCGGTCGGCGGTCCGCTTTGTCGATCGGAGCGACGAAACCCCAATCTACGGCGTCAGGGGATTTCGCTACGTTGGTGAGCGGGAGCTCCATTAGCTCCGGTCGCAGTCGCATCCGACAGGTTTCCAGCGTGATCTATCGTTTCGCGAGGACGGCAGCAGTCGCTGCTTCGTCTCCAACGCAGGAGCGCGAGAAAAAGGACATTCGCGGTAGTAGAGGGCATGAACAACCTATGAGGGTATGCCAAGGTCCTTCTGGTCTACTTTGGGCTGACAGAGTGTCGGAACAGATCGCAGCAGTGCTTGCGCCACCGGCCATAAACTCGTCCTATTGCAGCGGAGCACCTACAACTCGAAGACTCGATGACGCGAGGGAAGACATCGGCAAAACCCCCATCGCCCTCTCGATGTTCTGCCGCTTCGTCGAAGGGAAGAAGTTCGACGGCCAAGAGTCCCTCGAAGGCTTCCTCCGGACTCTTTCAAGAGCAGGTCGGTCAGAGGTGCCGGTTGCAACTGAAGGAGGAGCTGCAGCGCACAACGAACGCCCACCGTACGCACATGACCGACCCGACTCTTCCGGTTTAGTGGACAGACGCCAACAAATGTCCGTGGCAGGCGGGGCGTGGGAGGCGGTGGGTTCGGCGCGGTGGGGGGGGCGTGGGCTGCGGCGAGCATCAACTCAGTTTACGCACACCTCGTCACCGCCGAACCACTCAGACTTGGTCCCATCCACGACGAAGACAAGTGATGGCAGGAGGGCAACGGTGCTTCCCCAGGCGTATGGCGGGGTAGCAGTCAAAACACGTTTTGTGGGAATCACAGGTACAGTCGAAACGCGCCGGAGTGCCGACGTGGGGACTAGCGCCAGAAGCACCGGGGGAAGACTTCACTTGTCGTCAAGGTCGAGAAGTCCAACAGTCAAGTGGGACGTCGCCAGCAGTGGTGGGGAGCCCAAGGCGCCTACGAGAGATCGTTCCGGCCCCCACGGCGGCGGTTTCGTCGTGCGCGCCCTCTCGTCCTTCAACGGCAACGGGGCGGGGACGCTGTCGTCGGCAGAATTCGTGTCTGCGGCGAGTAAGGTCGCCGGTCTCGACATACAGATAGAGCAGGAGTGGGGAGATGTTTTGGCGACGAAGTTCGCGGCTACCATGCATAGAAGGGAGGTCGGAGGGGGCGTGAGGTGGCTCGGAGGAAGCGGGGAGGGCACGGATACTCATAGGCTGGACATTGCGGCGTTGGGCGATTTTCTGCGGCCGAAACACGTCTCCCTCAGTGTTATGACACCCTTCGGTGAGAACAGCCGCATCCATCGGTGAGCGGGTGATGTCGTATGGAACCGTAATGCGTTGCTATATTTTCAATGAATGGGCGAACATTGTCGGCTTGCAGCTTTTGGTTTTTCCCTTTCCCTGGGAACGGTAGGCAAGCGGACGGCCGCACAGAAGCGCATGTCGGTGGCTGGGAGGAGCGTAGAATCACCACGCCAGACGTGTAGCGTAGAACGCGTGAAATCCACGACCTTCGTGTTCTCTCCTATCAACATTACTCGAAAACGGTGTGCAAATACCGTGCTCGTTTTCAGGTCTAGTGGAGCTCTCGCTGGAAGACGAATTCCTCACTTTGGGCGATCTGCGCGAGGTGATTGTCAACAAAATGTTCTGGCGTCAGCACAACTGTCAGGTGAACGCACCCGTACCACGTCGCAGGGGGTTGGACGTCGGCTCGCCGATCCTTGTACCATCGCAGTCTACTGTACTGTTAGGCTGGGCGTTTCATGGTGAAACCGCCAATACAAAGCAAGAGGAACACAGTCCAGTATACTCGAAGTTCTGTCCTCAACCCCATCTCCCGTTGTAACCGTATACAAATCATGCCGGTTTCAACGTTTTCTAAAAAGGTTCGGCGGTCGGACAGGGACAACTTCACGCTCTCGCGCTTCTACGGCACCTTGCCGCTTGACACCGAATCGGCGGGACAAAGGCGAAGGCTGGTGCTGGACGTGTTGAGGTGTATTTACGCCTAGAATCGATATTTCTCCTCGTTAAGCGTTCGAGACTCGTTTCTGCAGTTGTTGCAGCCCCATGTCCGGTACAAGCAAACACATTCGGATATAAACCACAACCTGAACGAACCCTCTTATGCGGATTGCATTACCTCTCGAAAAGTGCTAAGGGAATATGTCCCGTTTCGATCGAGCCTAACCCTCGGGCCCATCGTTTCGTACCCACGCCAGACCAGGAGAGCTACTATTTGTCACGGATCGGGCGGCCCATCACACTAGACAGGAAACGCAACGGAGCATCCCTCGGTTTCAGTACATGATGGGGATGCAAAAGCAGCAGGCGGGGAGGGTTGCCACCCCTGCAATCGTCAAGCACGCAAGGTCAGATCTTTGAGGCCACGTGGTCCCTGGATATAGTAGTATATGTAGATATGTAGACAGAAGAAAATCGGGGAGGGGCCTTGGTGGGAACAGTTATCGACCTCGACATGTAATGTTTCGTGCCTCTAGAGACGGTGACAGGTAGAGCAGAGGTACAGTTTGACAAGATGTTTAGTCTAGGCCTCGCTACAAATGGTGGGTTGAAGGTGTCGGTGACACAATACTGCTGACAGATAAACGAAGTGAAACAACGGTGCTTGTTCCTGCTTCCCCGCATATCCGTTGCTCAGCTGCAAAGGCATGAGCATCGCGACCAAGCCCCCACCCTGCGGAGCAGTACCAAAAAGAAGGTGGTCTTCTGCCGACACCGTCACCGCTGGTTCGACTGGTGCAGGCGAACTCTCAAGACGGTCTTCATGTATCCCTTCCTCCCCCCCAGCGCGACGACAGTTCGTCGATGACGGTAAGGCGGCTGCAGAAGGCTCAATTTCCGAACGACCAACCACGAGCGTTGCTAGGGCCTCAGCTGAGCTACTACCACAAACGGCGACAAGGATAGTTGCGGAACCTCCTTCTCGCGATCGAGCTTCCGCAAGACGGCGAACCCGTGGCAGAGGGAGCACATCATCAAACGGTGGTGGTAGCAGGGTGGCAAGGGGCGACTTGGCGGGAAAGTCGTCGGATGGTGGAGCAGAAGAAAAGCGAGGGCAAGAAACAGCATCGTTCCACGACCCATCTCCGGCACGTGAGCCACTGTCAACTAAAGGTGACCAGCGAACTCGAAAGGCCCTATGTGTTTCTCGAAGGCGAAACGCAAACACGTGTAAATTTTAGTGTTTTCTTAAGAGAACGAAAAAATCGTCAACCCAGGCGCGAAAATACTAAGAGTCCTCACGACCGTTAGACTGATCACAGCCGCTTCCGGCGCCAGTTCGCTTCACTCGCCGCAGTCCACTCAGTCTCATCGGCGAAGTTGAATCGTAGTACACCATCCCGCTAAAAACACCCGTTACACCGGGCCGCAGGAACGCGAAAAACAGCCGTTGAGGCGTCCTTCGTCTTCGACTGGAGTGCGGGCCAAGTGGAGCGATGGGTTGGCGAGACGATTGAGTTGGGGTGCTATCGAGAGGCTTTCCAAGCCAAAAAGGCGGGTTGCGACGGTTTTCTTGCATACGGGCGGGGCAAACACTTTCCACGTGCATGGTGATGAATTCCAATTTCTCGAGGTTACCGCCCCCGTTCACCTCGTACGTCACTGCAATTGCTTTCAACACCTCGAGACATCCAACTTTGTAGAGTTCCCTCTAAGTGAGCTTGATAAAGACGATAAAGCTGGTGTCGCCCACACAGAAACACGACAGGGTACGGTTTCCCCCCGCATGATTCAAGTTGGCAGGTGATCAAGGACCCGCATACCATACAAATTGAATTTCCACTGCTCTTTCCCTGAACGTGTTCCCTCGTTCCAAAATCGTTGGAATTGGGCAGATCAACGGGCTAAGCCTCTCCAAGCTGTGTCAGAACGAGCTCATGGAAGAGCTCGGCGTGAAAAATCCGTTCCACGCACGGAAGATTGTATTGCACCTCGACCGGCTCGTTGAGGAATCTCTTGGACTCCGCATCGAGCATCAGATTCCTGGAACGTGAGTTGGGTTGGGTTGAAGCATATATTGTAGCCATCTCTGGAATAGACAATACGGGGCATATTAAAAAAAGAATCCACCCCAGCTACAAAAACCCATGAAGGTCTTCGTTGCATGAGAAGAAGCCAACATACCCAGCAGTTGTCTCGACGTGAGACCTCAACCTCGCGAGACCTAGCCCTTGAAGTAGCCTCAGACGGGTCGTGGAAGTCAGCGCTGTACCTGCGCCGTCAATCCCCGTATTTACAACCCCCCCGTCGCCGTGAGATCGGCACGCAACCGATAATGTTTCGTTGGAGGAGCGCGTTGAAGGCCCTCCCCTGACACTACGGTGCCCCTAGTCCAAGCGCCGAGTAAACGACAATCCCTGCCAAACTACGCAGGGTCCGGACGTGGAGAAACTGCGACTTTCTTTTGTGGTGCTGGCGAAACGTCGGGATTCGACACCGGCCAACCCTCGCACACTTGCGTCAGGTGAGGAAGAGACCGACACAGCTGCGGGTATGTGTGCCTTGCTGCATGTACGCCCACTCTCTGACAACAATCATAGGATGGTCACCGCTGATGAGCGTTCAAGCTGCCACTCGATCAGATTTGTCTCAAACAATGTGCGTGCTTGCGGGTATCTTGTTTGATGCGCTGCTACTGCTGCTGCGAAGGCGGGGATCGACGGCCTCGTGCTGCTCGCGATGGAGTCAGACAACTGGGCGCATTTGTTGGCCACTATCCCTCACTCCTCCTGCAAAGCTCCATTGGAGGCGGTGACGGCGGCTAGCCTGGCGCTTTCAAACCGGCAAGTTCCACTTAGTTCTGGTGTCTAGCGACTTCGACAGACCCGAACGCAACGGTGCTGAGGAGGCAAGACTCGAGGGTGCCGGCGCCTACACGGTGCCCATTGACACCAAAATTCCAGAAAACCCACCGCCAGAGGACGATGAGGAAGGGTCGGAGACACAACGCACCGCCACTGCTGCCTGAGCTGGTGAAGGGGGCGTCCTGCCCACGGAATAGCCCGTTGGCATCGATCGAAGTACTTGTCTCCATTTGGTGAAACAAGCAGTCCACGCAGAGATGTCACGGCGTCGTGGCTTTCCGCAGCTGGACCGGGAGGTAACTGGTGCAAGTTTGTCTTTCATCTCGTGCCAGGAACCTGGCAAAATCGGCTTTGCGCGTACTACCGAAGTGCTGTCCGAGGGGTAGGCAGCCCGCCTCATTCAGCTCGTAGGTTGGCGCAACAAAACAACATGCGGTTCCTACCAGCTACCACCGGGGACCTGTGCAAACACGTGTGTCACTAGGTCTTCGTCGAATTGCCGATTGAACTCCTTTACCCGCCATTCGTCTCAACCACGACCCATGCTTGGTGAATATGTGACCGCGGGTGGAAGCCACCCTATGCGGCTAGACAGGCAAGGTCGCAGGGTTGATACATTCGGAGCGACGAGATAATGGCAAGACAAGAGAGTCGCCACCCACTTGAATAGACTGGATATTTTCATCGGCCAGCCGGTTCGTGCAGCGACCCTCCTCGAGAAAGAAACTCACGAACCCACACACGGTTTTTTCAGGTTCACGTGGTTGATGCCAACTTTGTAAAGGAAGACACACCGAATGTCGAACTCTTTCCTCGGGGCATCGCCACTTGCTTGAACAATTCCCAACCCTCATCAGAAGTATCGTTCTATTGGAAGCATATCATTCCCGTCCTCCGACGAAACTCCTCCCACAAAACAGTCGCTTACAATCAAAATATTTACGTGTCGCGTCTCTATGCTGCGCTACCCTCGACGCTCCACAGCTACCAAGCTATCTACATCTTCGCAATATTCCACACACACGCACAACACGTCTACTTGTATGGCGTTGCCCGTTTGGGAGTAGCAGTATTTCGCCGTCGACGCGCCGAGGACACGTCGACAGGTCGTTGCCATGGCTGATGCCACCTGTTCCTGGTACTGTCCTGATGTTTTAGAGTGTTCATGCGCCTGGCTGTGGCGGCAAACATAACCACCGGTGCGAGCCCCACGCCGAGCAGGGCCCACGACGGGCCGTGGAAGTAACCCCAGGCGATGTTCGCCGCAATCTGGCAACAAACCGAAAGCGATGCAGCGGTCCGGGCGTGACCCAGGATGTGACATGGGTACAGTGTGCGATCGAGCTGCGGCGAGGACTGGTTGAACCTGGTGACATTTTTCTGCAAGCACGGCTTTCATTGCGACGCGGGGTTGGCTAAACCAAGCCGTTCGTTACTAGAGGCAAGGTATAACTAAAGTCAGACCGGAATCGTACGATCTAGAATCAAGGCAATCAAAAGTCAGACCGGAATCGTACGATCTGTGTCCTATCAGCACATTGCCCCTGTGCCCCGTTTCATTGCCCGCAGTTGGCTTGCGCGTGACTCTATTGCCCTGCTCTCGAAGCAGCGCTTCCCACAACACCTCTCCGCTTTTTTTCTGCCGCCACTCACCTGTGCGGCGAGCACCTGGGAGAAACCCCGCTGATAGGCAAGTTTTGATATCTTGTGTTGGAACACGCGCTGGCCCAGGAAGGACCCAGGCGAACCTCCTGCCAGCTCGACCTGATGCAAAAGGGCCTCTGCAACCGGAGGGGGGGGGGGGGGGCTC